AATCAGCTCCAACAAGTTCACATCCTTCCTGTACTGGAGGCCCCAGAGCTTGGTGCAATACTGCAAGTGGGCCCTCATGAGCAGCAGGGGACAATCACTGGTCCGTGTCACCGGTGAAGTCACTGAATAGTATGGGTCCCAGACTCCTGAGGGACACCATTGATTACTGGTTCCTACCTGAACTTTGAGCCACTGACTATAACTTCTTGGATGTGGATATCAAGCCAATTTCAAATCAGATTTTAGCAAATATTTCTTCTCCAAAAGAGTGGTCAGGCATTGGCACAGGCTGCCCAGGGATACGGTGAGTCACTGTGCCTGGAGGTGTTCTAGAATCATGTGCATGGTGGGGATGAGTTGGCAGTTGAATCAGATGATCTTAGTGGCCCTTTCCAACCTTAATGATCCTATGATTCTGCCATTCTGCCATTTTATCCCTCTAACAGTTCATCAATCAAATCCACATCCCCACTGGCTTTCATGTTGTGAGGGACCAGATCAAAGCCCTTGCACGAGTCCAGGTAGACGGCATGTGTTGCTCTTCCCTTGTCCCCCAGAGCCATCACTCCATCCTAGAAGGCCACCAGATTGGTCAGCATGCTTTGCCACTGCTGAAGCCTTTCTGGCTGCCTCTAACCACCACCTACCTGCCTTCCACATGCTTCCACATAAACTCCAGGAAGACCAACTTCTCCAGACAATCAGAGAAATGCCAAAATCAGGCTCCTGCCTCTGCCCACCTCCCTCCTCTGTGCATCAGGCTCCTCTGCTCCTGCCCTTTGCCTCAATATGGCCAGTCACTTTGAACGGAAACACTTTTTCATCCAAAAAATGCCAGTTCATCAAAATACTTCCCAAGAAAAAGTCACTTCAAAGGAATTTCTCTTTTCAAAAATCTTGTGGGGAAGGAAAAAAAAAAAAAAAAAAAAGAGAGACGCAGTGGTTTAACTATCCTGTTTCAACAGCTTTAAATGAAAAAATAAATCTTTTTTTTTTTTTTTTCCCCATGAGTGCCAAATGACTTTTCATTTAGAAATGGAAGATCATTATCATCTTCAAAAAAAAAAAAAAATCAAATAGCAAAGGGTGACATCAAAAGAAAATCTCTGGAAAACGTTAAAGTGAAACAATCAGCTGGGTCCAAAGCAGCAGGCGGAGCTCGGCTGTGCCCTGCCAGGTCTCATCATGGTTATAATCCCTGCTTGGGGCAGGAAGGGATTCCTGCTTCCTGGTGAGCACCTCAGGGAAGAAGAGCCATGCTAACTTTGGGCAGCTCTTTCCAACTGGACTTTGCCCTCTGGTTGCCTTCAGTTGGGGTACATGCTGGCAGCCCCCGGCTGTCACCCTCAGCCCTCAGCTGTTACAGTTTAGGCTGAGTGGGGAGCGGGAATGCCAGCAATCCAGCATCCAGAAGGGGATCCAGGCCCTGCTCAATATCGAAAGAAGAAGGGCTTTGAAAGGCGTACACTCATTTTCCTATTTCGTCCTCTGCCAAGAAAACTGGGGGGATGGAGGAAGGGGTGAACGGGTGGGGGAACAGCGGAAAAAATGTCTTGGCTGGGCCCTCTGTGCCTTTTATCTCATGGGCAGCCTGCCGAGGCAGGGTCTTCCCCTGCTGAGCCTGCTGGCAGATCAAACAGAAGTGGAGAAGAGTTATAGCCCCCCCACAGACCCCTCCCGCAAGGAAGTGAGAAAAGGAGAGGAAGAAAGAGCAAACAGCCCCATGATGCCCACGGTGCTGTCCCAGCCTGGAGAACTCATTCCAACCCTCTCAGAACTCACAGGTGTCCCCCATAGGGACCCTGGGGAGATCTGGAGTTGCCCCCATGGAGGGGAACAGCACTGCTGCATGGCCTCCAACAAAAGGGAAAGTCCCAGCATCTCCCTGGGTCCTGCTGTGCCTGCTTCGCCATCATGTCAGACCATTCTGAGCCAGCTTCGAGCAAACAGCATAATTAAATGCCTTTATTCCAAGGACTCCCTCTGTGTGTTTGTGTATTTGTGGATTAGCTGCTAATACTGTAAGAGGCTTTATTGCAACTAAATTGATTTCTTCTTTTTTTTTCCCCTCTCTTCTCTTCCCCTGTATTTTCTCCTTCCTGCTCACCAGCCCATGGGGACCATCGCCTTCACCAATCAAGAGCAGAGTAAGGACTGCAATGGGGCAGCAACCACAGCAAACCTCTAGGCAAGGAGAGCTGAGGGTCTGATGCTGAGAGCTTCAATTGATGGGGGGACATGGCTGCAGGGTACAGTGGCACTGGCTGTGTCCATCATACAAGCAATAAGGGATGACTTTGCCAAATGTGCAAATTTGTGCAGATCTTGACTGTGGAATTTTTTTTTTTATCTTGTGGGCTTGTTAACTCAAAGGTTACAGCAGATTTAGGAGGAATTCCTTGCCAAGTAGGCTCAAAAGACATGAGTCGGCAGCACTCAGCATCACACAGGGATCACACACCCCATGGTGATGGGGAGATGCGAACACCTGGTCACCAGGAACACCCAGAGGATCCCAATAACTCCTCAATGCAGTCAGTAAAAGTAATGAGGCTAATAAAGGCAGTCATTACCAGGCAGCAATCTGTGTGCCTCTCCAGGCTTCCCAGAATGGGGCACAAACTGATACTGCACCTTCCTTGTTTCTCATTCCTTCCCTCCATCCCTCTCCCCTCTCCTTTCCTGGGCAGCAGGAGTGGAGGCCATAATTGAATGTGGCTGGGAGCAACGTGAAGCAAAAGGCTGTTGAAAAAGAGAAGAAATGAGGGTACCTGTGGGATTACATGAGCCAGAAAAATGCAAAGCCTGCTTCCAGCTGCCCATAAAATAGATGCCGTCTCCTCTCCCATTGGCAGGGTTTGGCTGCACACAAAAAGGCTGGGAAGAGGATTTTTATGGAATTTATTTATAGGCTGGACGAGCAGCCATGTGCGTGTCCTGGATTTCTGCCTCATACCATGTGCTGGGCATGGCAGCAGCAGACCCGGGGACAAGCAGCAGGGCTGGTGATCAAGCCATGGCCATCCGTGGGACTGTCCCTGTCACCCCGCACGGCTGCATCGTCAGCTCTGATGGATGTCCCCAAGGAGCCCTTCTTCTGCATGTCAACAAAATAGGTTTAAAAATGTCACCAAACTCCATGCGAAGCTCCACAGTTGACACTTCAAGGAGCACATTTCATTAACGGGTGGAGGGGAGAAAAGGGAGAAAGGAGGGGAGGAAAAAAAAAAAAAGTAAAAAAGGAAAAGGAAAAGATTACCTTGCTGAATTAATCAGGCTTCACTGTAATGTTCAGGCTCGGATTTTATTTCCTGTAATAAGCCCATTAATACGGGTGTCTATAGCGCGGGGCTTTTAGCAGCAGGCACCATTAGTGTAACAAGGAAGGGCTAATAGAGTTTTATTGGAATTTTTACTCCGACATCACAGCCTTTTAAAACAGCTGTCTCAACAGGCATTATTATTCTGATTAACATTTAGACAGCACAAATCATAGTGATGCCCTTGGTGTCCTGCAGGTTCTATCATAATCACTGCAAAGTCCCCGACGCGATGGCTGATCCAGGCTGGGGGGTGAGGGGGATTCGGATGTTGGCGGGGACAAGGGCTTCATTTCTGTTCTCCTGTGCCAGCATTTCTAAGGAGCTGGGGTAGGTCCTGCTGTTACCGACACACAGCAGAAGCAGCTGGAATCTGACGGTTGCTTTTTGAACATCCCTGATCCTTGGGGGAACTTGAAAATGGGGTGGAGACGGTTAAAAAGCAGCAGGGGGTTATTTATGAGGGCTCTCTGTGATGAAGCAGTATGTACTCAGCATCAGGAAATTTGGGACGATGGGGCAACTCCCTGCTTACTGCCCACATGGTCACTGCAGGGTGATGCAGCTCAATCGCTGCCCGTTTCAGGTGCATAACACGTAAGATTACATGGGGCTGTGTTCCCAAAGCCCAGGCAGAGCCCAGACACCCAGCAATGCTCTGGGCTGCCCAGCATAAGCTGGGTGCTGTGCCAAGAGTGGTTCTGGGTGGATTTGGGGTTTTGGTTTTGATTCTCCTGGCATACCATGGCTGTCCTTAGCAGGGAGCTGATTGCTGCAGGGCACAAGGGTGTTCAGCATCTGCTTAATTTTTTGTAATTATTTTTCATGCTAAGTGCCTGATGGTATCTTTCAGACAGAAACAGAGGGGCTTGGGCCGTTCCCTTTCCCCAGGAGCTACAGGGCCTTCATCTCTCCCTTCCTTCTTCTCTATCCCCCCCCAGCCCCTCCATCAATTCAATCACAGGCAACTGGAGGCAAGGGGAAACTCAACAATAAAGGCAAAAACAACAGTAAAACTAGAGTGAAATGACAGCCATAAACCCTGTACCGGCAGGGACAGTAAAAGTGCAGTTTGGCAGGAGCCAGCAGGCCTGCACTCATACTTTTTTTTTTTTTTTTTCTTTTTTCCTGATTAAAACACTCTGGTCACAGATTAACTTCTTTCACGCAGTATTTATTGTCTCACCTGTGCTGGGAGGGAGGGAGGTGCTCTGGGCGCAGCAGAGTTTGGGCTTCAGAGCTGGCACCAAAGGGGCCCCAAGCACTGTGACCACGTCACACCGAGCCTGCAGATTGCGAGGCCGGGGTCTGTAGGTTGTGCAGAGCTGGATCACGCTCAGGATCACAGCAATGATCCTGCACCCAGCTCCATCTCATCTGCCAAAATCATACCCTCCCTGTGATGCAAGCATGGCTGCATCTCTCCTGGCTGTGTTTTCCCATCTCTTCACACCCCACTTAAAGGTACCAAACCCCTAAAAAGCCACTCCCTTCCTTCTACAAATCCATCTGATGTCCTTCCTTGAATCTTTCACTTTTTTGGGGAGGGAAAGAAAAAGAAGAAATTAAACAAAACGAAGCCCTCATAGTGTCTTGGCGTTATTTCAGCAGTACCTGTGCTCCTCAGCACACACCACCTCCCCAGCTTTCATCCTAAATCACAGCACAACAAACAGGCTGTTCATTAGGTTCTGTTTAATTAAGCAATACAGATCCTGCCCTGATATTTACAATCCCACTTGCTCTGATTTATTAGAGAAAGAGTCTCGTTTTTAAAGACGGTGACTGTAAAGTTTAATACCGCTTGACTTACTGCAAGTTTCATTTACGGCCCCAGGCTGACGCACGGCGGGCCAGGCTGAGAGCTGGTGGGCTATTAAATCAGAGCTAACTGCGCGTGCAGGGGGATGACGAGCCTCGTTACAACCGGTTCGGCGGCTAATTACCCCAATCTGGATTCCCACATTTAAGCCAATTCGTTGCCACTTTTCCACGGCCCTGGGGAAGAGCTGGGCAGGGCCTATGATTGCTGTGAGCGTGCACTTGTTGCAAGGAAGAAGGGAAGCAGGGGGCTGCAATGGTGGCGGTAGTCACACTAACATGCCGCCATCCACCACTTCCTCCCAAAAATTCTGGAACCTGCTGGACATGGGGGAATAATGATAGGAATGTCTTATGGGCTCTGCGATGGGGTCATCAGGGGCAGGATGGGGACACTGGAGGGGATAGGAACAGAGAAGTGAGGATGGAGACACTGGATGTGATGGGGACATCTGGAAGAGATAATGGGCACATCACAGGGAGGACGGAGACAGCATCCAGCCTTCCACTGGCAGGGATGTGGAAGCAATGCATAGGCAGGGACATGTGGCACTTCCCACAAGGCACTGTCTTGACAGTAGCAGATCAGTCCTGTAGAGGAGAATCTCCCTGCTTGCAAGAGATTTCTGGCCCCCAGGGGACCACTTTCAGACTTCAAAACTCTACGGGCCTCATTAGGGAGTTATGAGAATGGCTCTTCGGTGACAATTAAAATAGAATTGCATGCGGATGGGGCAGCAGATGGTGCTCCATACACTGGGCATCCCCATAGGACAAACCCCCAGATCAGCTGTAAGGCATCATGGAGGAGATGGGGCTGCTGGGGGGAGCAGAGCATGGAGCTGCCTGCCGTGTTCCCCGGCCCACACACGGCATCCAGCCCCACGCTGCACCTCACGCTGCATCCCAAGCACCCAGGCAAGCAGGATGAGGGCTGTTTCCCCAGACAGTGAGAAGGAAGAGGAGCGGTGAGTTTGCCAGCTTCTACCCCTGCCTAGGAGATGAATGCATCTGGGGCAGCCTCCTGCCTTCCACTCCTCAGCCTGCAAGGCAGCTCAGCAGGCCCAGAGCTCCCCTCAGGAGGACAAGAAGGCAATGCAAAGACAACAGCGGGCAGCTCATCCGCTGCAGCCCCCAGGTTACCTCCCAGCAGCTGTGGGTCCTCCTAACAGGCCAGAAGCCAGCAGGGCACAGCCAGAGGCACTTTGCTTGCAGGTTTATTGGGCAGCACTTCCAGTTCCACCAGTAAGACCAGACTGGGAGGAAGACAAGCCCTTTGGCATAGAGACTGCAGGGATGTGACAGGATGAGGGCTGGGGAAGCCACAGTCCATGAGGAAGCTCAGAAGAAGCCGACAGACCTCAGCCGAGCTCTTCGCCACAGGCCTGGGCAGCATCACACCGTCTCCTGAGGCTTCAGCTTGTAGTGCACCTCGGGGAGGGCTCTCAGCCGCTCTGCAGCCTGCAGGGACCAGACACAAGGCTGGGGCAGTTCAGCAAGCAGCCAGACCACTCCCTGAGCTCCCCGTGCCAGGCCAGCTCCTCACCTGCTCAGGGGTGAGGTCCCGCTGTGCCTGTGCTAGCATCTCATAGCCCACCATGAATTTGCGGACAGTAGCAGAGCGGAGCAGTGGTGGATAGTAATGGGCATGGAGCTGCCAATGCCCACAGTCCTCCTGCAGGTGGGGGCCTGTAGGGGCTCCTAAGCAGGGTACAGGGTCAGGTGTGCAATGGGAGAGATGAGGACAGAGGGGCAAAGGAGACGGGACACTCACCATGCCAGCCCATGGAGTAGGGGAAGGAGACTTGGAAGAGGTTGTCGTACTTGATCAGCAGCCGCCGCATGATGGAGGCCAGGCCTGCGGGGTTGGGGGCAGTGAGTGCACCCAGAGCTGGTCAGGACCTCCAGTGACACTTGGCACTGGTGACAAGCACGAGTGATGTGCCAGCCACTCCCAAAGTCAGCACCCCAAGAGCATGGAGCATCGTGTCCTTCATTGTCACAAAACCCCATAGAGCTCCCTCCCAAAAAATAGCCCAGGGCATCACTCACTGTTCCTCTCGCTGTCACACAGGTCCTGCAGGCGGAGGACATGGCGGCGGGGCAGGAGCAGGGTCTGGAAAGGCCAAGTGGCCCAGTAGGGCACAACCACCAGCCAGTCCTCATTCTCCACCACCAGCCGCTCCTGTGGGACACAGCACTCAGGGAATGGGGACAGGGACATCCCCCACTTAGGGACAGGGGGACAGCCATATCCTCACCTTACGTTGAGCCTCCTGCTCAGCGTACTCCAGCAGCATGGGCACACCATGCTGGCTGTGGTGCTGCCGCTGTGTCCGCTCCTCCAGGCGCGCCTCGTTGGGGAGGAAGCTGCTGGCCCACACCTAGCAAGGACACAGTGCTGTGTTATCAGCTGTCCCCAACGAGCTGGCCCGATCACATCCCCCAGGCACTCCAAGATACGCCACAGCACCTAAATTCAACCCTACAACCAACCAACCACGGTTCCGTGCTGCCACCAGGTGGGCAGTCCAGCATGCAGCAACCACAAGGGACAGTCCCCAGCAGAGAGGGGACAAGAAGGAGACTGACACCACTGCGCTCCCATTTTCCAGGGGGCTCTGTCCTAGAGTGGCCCCTGGGGTCACAGCCTCACCTGGCAGTGCGGGTGTGGGTTGGAGCAGCCCATCATTGCCCCTTTGTTCTCGAAGATCTGTGGAGGAAGCAGTGTAGGGGGTGACAGGTGACAGCACCCCCACCCCCACTGCAGGGAGAAAATGCTGTCCCCAGCATAGGGGGAAACCAGCACAGGAGAACAGAAGCCTGATACATAGGGGCACCAGGTGAGGTTGAGGGACCCAGCCATGGGGCTCCAGCAGCACCTCCCCTGTGTGCCCCCAGGGATGGGGACACATCTCCTGTCCCCAACAGACCTGCACCCAGGGATAGGAGGCCCCCAGCTCTGCCTCCAGTTCTGCCCACGCATCAATCACCGCCCGGATCTCCACCAGTGACATCAGGGGCAGTGTCAGGTCGGAGTGCGGGTGGAAGCACATCACCTTACTGAGGAAAAAGCCCCACATGGGTGAGAGTCCCAAAATCAGAACAGGATTGCAAAGGAAAGCAACAGAGCTGCCTGTTGCTAGAACTGGAACACTCACCACACACCACGGGCAGCTGCCGCTTGGAACAAGGGGTGGCCACTGTCATCTGGGGGGGAGAGAGAGAGTAGAGGGGGAATTTGGGCAGCGTCCACGCCCCTACAGCCCCCCAGAACCCCTGCAGGAATTACCAGGTTCGGGGGCATCTGGCTGCAACGCAGGGAAGTCATTGGGGAAGACAAAGGTGCCCTCGTAGTTCGGGTTGACCTGTAGCGGTGAGAAATGGAGTCTGGGGATGGGGGGTGAGGCACAGAGGGAAAAACAAGATCAGGGTGCCCCATGGTACCTCACCGTTGGCCCGGGTGGCCCCAGGGCAGAGAGGGTTCTTGGGGTCCCAACGGGGCACGTCCTCGGGGGGGGGCTTCTCCAGCTGTCCGTGCCAGGGCCGCTTCACACGGTGCGCAGACACCAGCACCCACTCATCCCGCAGCGGGTTGTAGCGGGAGTGCTGGTGCTCTGTGGAATGGCAGCAGGGTCACTGAGGGGGCATGAGTGGGGGTCATTCCATTCCATGACTGAGGGGACACGAGTGGGTTGGAGATGTGAATGGGTAGGGAGATGACTGGTGGGACACAAGCAAGGGACACGACTGGGGGAACACGGAAGGGAGAACTGAATGGGGGAGTGTGAGCGGAGTAGGAAATGAGTACGGGATGACAGTAAGGAGACTCAGGTGAGGGAGGGGACATGAAAGGGGAACACGAGTGATAAGACTCAACTAGGAGTACACAAGCAGGGGTGGGGACATTTGCTGGATACAAGTTGGACAACATGATTGGGGGGACATGAGCGGGAACCACAGATGGGCCATGGGCACGAGTGTGTGAAGAGACGAGTGGGGAAACATAAGTGGGGTCACTGCTGGGGTACACGAGCAGGGTGGTGACACAAGTGGGGCACGACTGAGAGGGAGGTAAGTGGAGGAACATGAGGCAGGGGAAGCTGTGGGAGAGGCTACTACGGGGACACGAGTGGGGAGAGACGAGTGCGAGAACACGAGCGGAGTGGGAAACATCTAACGAGGAAACACGGGCGGTGGGACTCGAGAGGGGTTAGGGACTTGTGCGGGGACCCGAGCGGTGGGACAAAAACGGGCGACAGAAGCGGGGGACACGAGCGGGGCGAGGACTGCCCCTCCTCCCCGCCCCGTGCTCCCCGGCCCCGCCGTACCGCTGGCACGGAAGCCACCTTCGCCTCCCCCCGCCGCCGACTCCATGCCTCCGCCGCCACCCGGAAGCCCCGTCCCCGCCGGGCGGTCCCGGCTCCGTCCCGCCCCTTCGCGCCGGCGCAGCGCAGCGGCCGGGAGCGGCGTGGTCTCGACGGGGCGGTCCCGGGTCGTCCCCGCGGGCGGGGTGGAGCGGCACGGCGCGGCGGGGCGCGGAGAGGAGAGGCGGCATGGGGGTGGGAGGGCCGTGGGTGCTGCGGGTCGGGCTGGGGCTGGGAGCGCTGGCCTTGCTGCTGCAGGGGCTGCGGGGCTGGTTAGCCTGCAAGCGGTACGAGTTCCAGCCCGCCGAGATCGCCGAGCTCGCCCGACACCACGCGGGTATGTGGGGGTGGAGGGAGACGGGAAGTGGAACCGAGAAGGGGAAAGGGATCGGGAAAGGAGCAGCGGTAGGGGAATGGGGGTGGGAGGCTTTGTTGCTGGGGGGAAGTGGTATGGGGACGGGCATCAGCTCCCGTAGAGTCACAGCAGGAGCCTGCACGCTACTGGGACAGGGTCGCCGTCACCTCGGGGTCTCGCTCTAGCTGGTGCCGGGGGGGTGTCCTGGGGCTCTCAGTCCCGTACATCCTTCTCCACCAATTGGGGAGGCAGTGAGGCGGGGACTGGGAAAGGAGTGTTCTCCAGGCAGAGCTGCCAAAGGCCATACCGGGACCTCATGGCTAAGGATGCAGGATAGGGAGGCTGTTAGGTCTTGGTCCATGCCAGTGATTCAGGCTGACCCCGCTATTGCAGGGCTGGATCACGAGCTGGCTTTCTCCAAGATCATTGTGGAACTGCGGAAGAAGCACCCGGGCCACATCCTGCCTGACGAGGACCTGCAGTGGGTGTTTGTGAATGCGGGCGGCTGGATGGGCTCCATGTGTCTGCTGCATGCCTCCCTCACTGAGTATGTGCTGCTCTTCGGGACAGCCATCGACACTGGGGGACACTCAGGTACATGGGGCAGGGGTGTCTCTGTGCTCTTTTAGCCCCTGTCCTTCTGGGACTGTCCATCCCAACGGCTGGCAGCCCTCTTATCTCTGCAGGGACATGATGAGTGGTGCTTTGCCCTTTGCAGGTCGCTACTGGGCAGAAATCTATGACACCATCATCTCAGGCACTTTCCGGCAGTGGAAAGAGGGAACCACCAGAAGCGAGATCTATTATCCCGGTAAGCATGACATGAGGGCTGCAATCCCCGTGCTGTATTACGGCCACTCTGTACTGTCATGCAGCCTCTTCCTTCCAGCTGGCAAGAGCCTAGAGAGAGGCACGAGGCGCTCCATGTCTCCTCACCACAAAAGTGTCAACAATAGAGGGGTGGCTACAGGACACAGAGAAGGGATGGGAAGGGGCTGAGCACTGCATCTCCCCGCCCCACACATCTCCGCTTTGGGTATGATGTGGGACAGCTACTTGGAGTGATGCCATTTGTGTTGGCAGGGGACACCATCGTGCACCAGGCAGGAGAGGCCACATCAGTGCAGTGGAGTGCAGGCACCTGGATGGTGGAGTACGGCCGAGGCTTTGTCCCATCCACACTTGCCTTCGCGCTGGCAGACACCCTCTTCAGCACTCAGGACTTCATCACCCTCTTCTATACCCTGCGCGCCTACACCAAGGGCCTCCTCCTAGAAGCCAATGCCTTCTTCAGCACTTTGGGCTGCTGAGCCTGGCTGGACAGTGTGCCCCAACAGCCTTCCTCCCCCTTTCTCCTCCTCCCTCTCTGGGCTGCAGATCCCACAACCTGGGGATGAGGATGCTGGTGCATCCAGCACCAAGCAGTCCCTGGGAGGTTCCCCACGTGCCATCTGGGTTGGCAGGCAGCTGCGGCTGTGGTCAGCACAGAGCACAGTGTCCAGCTGGCAGCTCCCACCGTTGCTTCCAGGTGCTGGCAGCACACAGTGTCCCCAGGCACCGGCGGAGGATGCCCAGGCAGTATGGGGATGATCAGGCTCTGTGCTGAAGGTCTGTTCTGGCACCTATCCCCGCTGTGTCACCTGCCCCTTGAGTGGAAGAGATCCCTTCCTTGTGCCTCCCCCTTGTTTTCCCCCCAGGGGGGACAGCCACAATCTGTCGCCTTAACCAAGCATGGCCTCCAGGCTGTGCATATATTGAGTGTCTGCGGGTGCCCAAAACTCTGAATCAGCTCAGGATGGGACTTTGCCCCTCAAAACACTTCCCCTGACTGAGAGCCAGCAAGGTCCCCGGCCAAGTGGTGGTGTGCACTCTGCTCACGGCCTGATGCCCATGTGGGCTCAGCAGAGGGCTTCCAGCTCTGTTCTGTTCCCAAAATACTCTGTGTCCCCAGGCCAAAAGCCTACAGTACATCTCTCCTTATCCCACCAACTGGCAGCCCTGTGCATGGGCTACATTGTCTTTTGTCACCCCGGAAGAGATGGCAGTAATAAACATCATCATCCCACCTGCTTGGGTGTCTGGTGTGTGCAGAGCCCCCAGCATGAGATATGGGGCTGGGGGCTCCTTGGACAGCCGTGGGGGCACAACAGTGCAGAGGGATAGGTAGGAGTGTGGGGAGAGAAGGGTGTGAGAAGGGCATGGAAGGTGATCCTGGGGTGCATGGGCTATGCACACATGTGCAGGACTGCAAGCAGTGCTCTGTGTGGATGTGCATTAGCTGTGCATAGGTGTGTGTGTGATTAAAAATGTGCAGGTGGATAGAGGGCAGGTGTGTGCACATGTATGCACATGCAGAGCAAGCATGCATCTATATGGTCAGGAAAGGCTGGTGCCGGGGATATCCTGGTGCATAGCATATAGAGCATGTGCATGGATGTGTGTAGGCAGAGAAGCTGTGTGCGTGCGTTTGTGCACCTCTGTGCACGTGCCCCATTCAGGTTCACAGGTGTATGTACATGCACACATGTGCACATGCCTGTGTTTATGTGTGTGCTCCGCAGGCCTGTCGAGGAACATGAGTGATCCTGCTCTGGCCCACACGGGAAGGCGCTAACTCAGCAGCTCGTATCAATACCGCTCCACTTACAGCGAAGGCCACGTAATGAAAATCCGATGGGCACGCTGGTGGGAGTAAATAAGTATGCCATTAAAATGAGAAAATCAAAGCTCTGGACAGGTCTTTTCTCTTGCTCATTGATTTCTTTTATTACGGAAATATTGCTGCTAAATAACATTAGTGTGAACAATCTCAGCAGTGTTTTCAGTAGCACCTGTGTCAATAATGCCATGGTAAGCAAGAGTCCCCATGGGGCTGCCCCAGGGGTGCCCTTATCACCCCTAGGTGTGTTCAGCAGAGGAAGGGAGCAGCTCAAGGGGTTTTGGTGAGGATTGTCCTTAACCACCATTTGATTCACATGGGGAAGCTGAGGCAGGGTGTGTGCTCCCCTGCTACCACTGACTCAAGCACAGCTCCTGTCCTGGGCTGTGGATTGTGTTCAGAGCGCTTCAGCTGCCTGCACCCAAGCACCAAGTGACCCAGACACGTGGGAGGGCTGCAGCTTTTGGCACACAGAAGCCAAGTGGGGATCCCAGGGCACCTCAGAGGTGGCCAAAGAGACTCTGTAATGTGGGTCCAGCTGCAGCTCCTCAGAGCCATCACAGGACAAATGCACTTCGCTGCCCAACACGCACCTTCACGCTGCAGCCTGCTCTATCTTGCTGTCCCTCCACACACAGTGGGTATTGATCAGCCCACAGGATCTATTTCCCGATTCCTCCTGCAGTATCTCTCTGCTCAGAGTATCTCTCAATCTACTCTGCTGTCTGCTGTGCCCTTCTATATCTACAGTATCTACCTGTGCTGCTCCCACTGCAGCCATCAATACACATTTTTCTGGGGGATTTCTCTTTTCTTTTCAGCACTGCCAGATCCCAGCAGTGTACAATGCATAGCGGGTGGAGGGAACACGGCCCTTGCAGGTCCAAACAGGTACAGTCCCCATAAGGTGATGGGGGACACGTCAGTCTGGTGCACAAGAGGATGGGCACAGCCCAGCACAGGGGGTGCCAGCACTCTCGGGTGCACCAAACAGAGGGGCTGCAGCCCATAATCTGGTGCTGGAAGTGCTGGGAAAGGATGGGCCGAGGCGGGCTACAGCTGTCCAGCCTCGAAACAGGATGGCCGACAGCTGCTTTATCTCCAATGCAAAGATAAACAGCGTCCGGGGGCCCTGCGGGGTCGGAGTGCTGCACTGCCGCACGAGCCCCGGGCAGCACAGCGGTGAGCTGCAGCTGCTCCCAGCACAAGGCGGCAGTGCAAGGGTAGAGGCTGCGGGATGCTGCGGATCCTGGACCCAGCCCACGGGCAGGGCTCGTTTTGCGGGTCAGGACTCGGCGATTGCCTCTGGCTTCAGCCCCCCCTTTGTACCGCCCAGTGACAGGGTGCACCCCACCCCCCCGGACACACGTGTGCACACACCTACCTGTGCACATAGAGCACACGCCCACCCCTCCCGACATGGATCGCTGCAGATAAGCACACAAGCCGCACACACCCAGCCCCAGCACGTCCAGGTAGGCACATCATTGTCCCCAGCGGTGTGAAAACGTGTGCACACACAAAGCACACACACAAAGCACTCATGTTCAGCTCCTCCAACAATGCTGCGTGTGTGCATGTGAACAACTCTGCACAATGTATGCACTCTGCTCCTGTGGGGTGAATGCACACCTTAAACACCACGTGCATGCACACACACACACCATCTGCACAGACTGCCCCGCACACTCACACACACACACAAGGAGTTCACACACAACTACAGGCGTGCTGACACCCTACATCACACACACACACACAGACACACACACGGTGTTCACTATCCTTGCTGTGCACAAATGCACGGATTTCCGGCAAAGCAACATGCAGATGCGTGCAGGCAGAAACCTTCTGCACCCATGCACATACGCAGCAGAGCACACTCCTACAGAGGAGCACAGATCCCCGCACACGCACACACAGCCGCTCTAGCAGCCTCGGGCTCTGTGATCTCCGCGGGCCGGTCCCGGGGCTCCCCTGGGGCTGCGCAGGTCCGGCCCTCCCCGGCTGCCTCCCTTGACGTGCGCTAGCAAATGGGAGCGGGGAGGGGTGTTGCTGCCT